GGGCGGGGGGGAAGGGGGAGTGCTGTGTGCTGCTCACCCCACCAGCTCAGTGCTGTTCTCACGCTCAGCCCCTCACACAGCCCGAGGGGCGCGGGGGCACAATCGCGTGTCCCTGGCCCAGGCCAGGCGACAGCACAGCCTCACACTGGGGTTGGCAGGAGCACGAGAGAAGGGGAGACAGGGCCTCTGGCTCCTTTTCCAGACCAGAGGGAGGGGCAGCTTGCTGATGGCACCCACTCCAGTAGCCAATCTCAGGGGAGAGGAACCCCTAGGAACAGACCTTCCTGCCGCCTGTGAAACGAATGAAAACGGTGAATCCATGAAGCCGAGGTGCCGCCCCTCAAACCGTCCCGTCGCGGGCACGCTCCGCTCTAACGTGATGGGCACCTGCCCGGCCGGCGGGGCTCAGGGGCTGAGCACAGACCTAGGAGCCAGGAGGTCGTGGTTCGATGCCTGGTCAGGGCACCTGCCCAGGTTGTGGGCTCGATCCCCACTGTGGGGCGTGCAGGAGGCAGCTGATCCATGATTCTCTCTCATCATTGATGTTTCTCTCTCCCTCTCCCTTCCTCTCTGAAATCAATTTTTAAAATGTTAAATAACGGCCCCCTCATAAAGGTATTTGTGGAGGCCATGTTTACTGATGGGCCATTTTCAAAAAGCCAAATAGCAACAGTACAACGATGGAAATTTCTTTTGAGAGCCACATTTTTTAAACTTAAACTATATAGGTAGGTACATTGTGATTAACTTAATTAGGGTACTCCTAAGGCTTAGGAAGAGCCACACTCAAGGGGCCAAAGAGCCGCATGTGGCTCGCGAGCCATAGTTTGCCGACCACGGCCCATCGCATGTGGTGGAGCCGGGAGGAAAGAATTGGCTCCAGGTCTCGCCACACCTGTCCCCACAGGCGCCAGCAGCTGGTGAGGGGCTGGGCTGGAGTCGGGAAGCACAGCCTCTCGCCCGGAACCCTGGCCCCTTTCCCCGCCTCCTCCCCGCACATCCCGGCCCCAGCGGGACGGACAGCTCAGCTCCGGTCTGGCTCCTGTCGCCCGGCCAGCGCACAGGTGACTGGAGCCGGACGCAGAGTCCTGCTCACCGTCT